TCTGGAAAAGCAGCCAGAGCTCTTAACCTGAGTCATCTCTCCAGCTCCCAAACAATTTCTTTACTTATTATGTAGTGTTCTGTCTGCATGTATGCCTGCAGGCCAGAAGAGGGTGTCAGATCTCAGACTGTTGCGAACCACCACCACCATGTGGTTCTGGGAACTGAGCTTAGGACCTCCACCCAGATAGGTCCATATAATTGGCATCAACCAAGTTGTTGGTATAGCACTGAAGGGTAAAACAGGGGGACTGGAGAGATGGGTCAGCTGTTAAGCGCACTGGCTAGCAATTTTGTTTACCAAACTGGTCAAGTATGTAGTTGAGGCTGGTCTTGAAGACTATGTTCCCACTTCTGTAAGGTCAGGATCACTGACAGGCACACACCAGCCACACCAATGTGCACTGCCAAGGCTTTGTTAACACTAGGAAAGCACCCTGCCAATTGAGCTACAAACACCTCACACAGCCTCACTGATCCTCTTGCCAGGGATTATGGACATGTCTGTATAGTTTGTAGGATTCGGCTAGGTGACAGGTATGTGCAAACCCAGTTCGGATTGAAAATAAACCAGCTTAAAAAAAAAACAAAACAAAAAAAAAAAAACAGCTGGGCATAGTAGCACAAACCATTACCCCAGAAGGCAGAAGCGGGTGGTCCTGGGCTAAAGAAACCTTATCTCAAAAAACTAGAGTCTACAGGATAAAGTTTAAAAAAAAAAAAAAAAAAAAGCCTGGCTTTGCAAACCTGACAACCTGAATTTGATTCCTAGAACATAAGCAGATTCCAGGTTGTTCATTGACCTCTATACATACACTATGGCCAGGCCATCTACCCACACAATGACAGGACAAAAAACCAAACAAAAAGGTAACTAAAAATTCGGAGTTATTGACTTTCAAATTTCTTGTGTGGCTGTCAATTGCTAAAGTTTTGTTCAGTGTGTCTTCACCAAATAGCTCATAAAACTCCTATAACTCTAGCCCCAAGTGATCAACACCCTGTCTGACCTTCAAATCTCATGTGCTGGCGTGTCATGTCAGCCTGTAATTTTCACATGCATGAGTGACGCCCTGTTACCAGTAGAGTAGCAAGTGCCTGTAACCAGCCCTGTATCTGTTTTGGCTGTTAGCAGGAAATGAGATGGTGGTAATTCCATGTTTGCTGGGTTCATTCTTCACCACCAGATGGATAGGAAAATATTTCACACAGAACTTACAAATAAATCACCATGATTTACATTTTTCAGTCCTTATTGAGACATCTGCACATCCAAATAGTCAATATTATGCCCAGGTCAAGGCCAAACACCTCTAGAATCTTCTCAAAGTGCCATGCCCATTGAACATCCATCGTCTGTCATGGTTACTACACTCCTGTTTCCCGAATGTCTGGTTACAGCTGACCCATCTGCTAAGTAATCAGAAAGATCAAGGACACCCCAAATCAATACAAGTCTTTTATTGTCCCAAAAGATACCCCAAATCATATTAAAATTCAGGTTCTTGTTTCTGGAACTGGTAACTGTAAAAAGAAACAAGGTACACAAATTTTCATAAATAATCCTGCCCAGAAACTTTTCTTAGTTCAACTATATTATAAATTAGAGTAAAACAAATCCACCCATGATATACTTTAGTAATGTTTAGTGTACCAAGCTCCACCTACCTTAGGTCTACTCATCAGCCTGCTGCACTGTTCCCTTTTCAGACACATAGATACCATCCAAAAACTTCCTGATATCCTTGTTCTTAACTGTTGTGGCCTGCTGTATCAGAGCCGCTACAGAGGAAGAAGCAAAGAAGCCATTATCTCACCAGCCAAATTCATTTCCAACCCTAACTACTGGAGCTCAATCCCCAGAATCTACACGATGGAAGGAAACTCGTTCACTGCCCTCAGTCGAGGGCAGCAGCAAACAGCCCCCCAATATAGATCTAAAAAGTCATCCATATGCTACCCATCACTTTGAACTACATACACAACCACCATGTATTCATGATACAAAGTACAATACACAGAACAGATTCTGAATGTCTGACCACTCAAAAGTTTTCAAACAGAAACCAGCTATGCATTCAACCTTTAGGCTTAGATAAAATTTTCGAGATAACAGTCATAAGCATACATACCCGAGTTTGAAACAAGTTCAATATCATTTCCTTCAAGGACTAATTCATCCTTCTGGGCTTGAGAGACAGAACAAGCAACGCCTAAAAGAGGTGTGCATTCGATAGCATTAACACGAGGCATGTACAAAATATAATTTCATTTAAAACTCCATGCAAACCATCAACTTTAGGACTGGGCTTTCTAAACATACTGTGATTACAGGAGTGACAGATTCAATTTCCAGCATCCACAAAAAGCTGTGTGTGTATATATATATATATACACACACATATATATAGCCACATATCTCTGTCCTACAAAATTCTCCCACATGGTCTCTTCAGGAAAAATGACTTAAACCTCAAGCTAGAGCAGGGGGCAGTGCATGCCTTTAATTCCAGCACTTGGGAGGCAGATGGGTCTCTGAGTTCAAGATCAGCCTGGTCTACAAAGTTTCAGGGCAGCCAGTACTACTACACAGAGAAGCTGTTTCAAAAACAACCACCCCCCCCCCGCAAAAAAACTAACAAAAACACCTCAAACTCAAACTAGCAGTTACCAAAACAGAGTTCTGAAATAACCTTCAGCACAAACACCAGCACCCCAAGACTCCAAGAAAAAGAACCATAGCAGCTTATCATTTGTGAAGGGACACACATACCTGTCCTCATCCGAACCCTGCGGATGTATTTTTCACCCAAGAAATTTCGGATTTCAACCAAAGACCCATTCTCTTGAATAACGACGTTGATGGGGAAGTGAGCATACACGGACCTCATCTTGTAGCGGAAGCCCTGCATTAAATAAATGAACAATCTCAAAACATTTTCATTTCAGGCTGGCCTAGAGTCCGAGATTCCTTCTTCAGCTGTATGCCACCAGGGGCAGCTCTAAAATTCCCCAAGGTGCTTCTGTCTTAACTTGAACTGTCTCTTTAGATAGTAACACTCCTGGAGGAAGCATCTGTTTTACTATTTTATCCTGGCTTGCTCTTTTCAGTGAGAGCCCAGGACCCTTATCTGTGGTACTAGATTTACTGAGTTAGACACAGCCGACCATAGACTTCACATTTTCAAGCTAAATTAAAGGTCCAGTCCTCCAACGAAACTGGGAGCAACAGGGAAGCTTGACCCAAGAGGTACAGGTTGTTTTTATGAAACAAACCTCTTCAGCATTATCTTTGGAGAAAGGATTCCAAATTAGACATGTACAAGCCAGACCTTTTCTATGAGTACCACACATACCAAACAAAAACGAAATCTATGCTACAGCAGATTATCTATTAAAAAAATGCTGGAGTACGTTTGCCCAGCAATTTCCTAGGTTTGATCCATAGCATGCCCCACAAACAGAAAACAACGAAATCGTCCCCTAACTTATGAGAGTCCAAAGCCCATCCTGGTAATAAACATTTGCATATACAAAATACAACCAAAACCTCTCCCAAAGGGTTAAAAGACAGCCTGATGGGCTGGCTTACCAGCGTAACACCCTTGATCATGTTTTGAACGTGGCTGCAGATGGTTCTGACGGTGGCCAGTTCCTTCCTGTTGCCCCACCATTTGTCAACCCGGAGCTGCAACAGAACAAGATTTCAGAATTAAAACATCTAGTTTTTAGCTGGTGACCACAAGAGCATTTAAAGTCTCCCACAAATGACCAATATACTGTTTGTCATAGGCACAGGATTCCAGAAGAACGACATCCCCACCCAAAAAAAAAAAAAAAACTCCGAGAACACAAGGGTCACCCCAGGATTAAGTCCAAAAAACTCCTCAGAATTCATTTTATAATTTCACCAAAGCAAAATTGCCTATAATTCCAGGCACCCCATCGGTAACATCTTAAGTGACAGATTTTTTTGTTTGTTTTTTGAGACAAGGTCTCAGTTACGCAGCCCTGGCTGTCCTGGAGCTCACTAGGTAGACCAGTCTAACCTCCAGTTGGCCAAGAGATTCATCCGGGGCTGGGATTTATGGCGTGTACGCCGGGCCCAACGCACCAAACCTCACGCTTACCACTTAACTACCCTGCAAGCAAGCAACTTGGCTATCAAAGTAATGAGGTCCTTACCCTCTTCTTCTTCTTCCCAAGAAGGCTCAGCTCTACGTTGATGTGATTGAAGTCCCTCCGGAGGGTTCCTCTGGGGCCCTTCACAATGACTGTGCGCCCCTTCAGAGTGATGTCCACTGGAAGAGAGGGCAGGACGAAGCCGTGAGACCACAGGCCAAGGCTCAGAGCATGCAAAAAAAAAAAAAAGCCGTCAAGACAAAGCACCAAGTCGCCTACCATTTTCTGGAATGTCGACCGTCTGATTGCTGAGAATGGTCTTCATTCTGAAACACAAACACCCAGGTAAGAAGGCTGCAGGGCACGCTCTACCGCGGAGACGGGGCAGAGTTCCGCCTCAACCGTTAATCTCCAGGTAGAAAATCCAGGAGCAAGGCACAAATGGGGGTCCGTGACAAAGGGCGGCCCGGGAGCGAGCGAGCAGGGAAGGTGCGGGCCCCGGAGGGACGGTAGCAAGCCCAGCCCGGGGCGCCATGGCGGTAGGGCTGCGGCCGGGGCAGGCCTGAGAGCCCAGAACGCGGCGTCCAGCCCGCAACGCCATATCCGGGGGACGCCTGTCGTGCTGGGGGACACTCGGGACAAGGACTCGGGGCACCGGCCCCACGCCACCGGAGCCCCCCGAGAGAGGATGGCTTCAGATTCCCGGGGAAGAGTTCGGAAGCTGCTCACCTCGCAGTAGATGGGGCAAAGAGAGAACGTCTTTCGTCATCACGTTCTTGTAATCCGGCAGGGTCCTGGCGTGTGACGTCATAAGCGCGCGACGGAAGGCCGAACTAGTCGCTCGCTATCAGGTCGATCCGTGCAGGGTCGATGAAGACGTGTCATAAGCAAAGCGACCGGTGTTTAGCGGCGTCCTATTCCGCCGGTGCTGGTCCCTCGAGCCCTTGACCCTCCTAAGACCTGACTGGGGGGGATGTCTCTACGCTGCGGGGACGCGGCTCGCAGCCTGGGGTCCTGGGTGAGCGGCAGAAACGCTGTTGATTAGCCGAAGTCCAAAACTAGGGAAATCTTTCCAGATATCCTTTTCTGAACGCCCTGGCTCGTCAGGAATGAAAGTCACAGCGGTGGCATATCCTGATGATTGCAGTTTAAACTTGTTGACAGCATGCTTTTAGTGCCTGTTTTAAGAATAAAAGACTTGAGCCGGGCGGTGGTGGCGCACGCCTTTAATCCCAGCACTCGGGAGGCAGAGGCAGGCGGATCTCTGTGAGTTCGAGACCAGCCTGGTCTACAGAGCTAGTTCCAGGGACAGGCTCCAAAACCACAGAGAAACCCTGTTTTGAAAATAAATAAATAGATAGATAGATAGATAGATAGATAGATAGATAAAGAAAGAAAGAAAGAAAGAAAGAAAAAAGAAAAGACTTGCCGGGTGGTGGCGGCGCACGCCTTTAATCCCAGCACTCAGAAGGCAGACACAAGTGGATCTCTGTGAGTTCGAGGCCAGCCTGGTCTACAGAGCGAGTTCCAGCACAGCCTGGAGTACACAAAGAAACTCTGTCTGAAAAAAGACATGAAAATGTGACATGCTGGGGGGACTTGATTGGGGGAGGGGGAGGGAAATGGGAAGCGGTTGTGGGGACGAGGCAGAAATCCTTAATAAATAAATAAATTTAAAAAAAATAAAAAAAAGAAAAAAAAGAAAATGTGACATGTTAAGTCAGTTCCTAAAATTTTCTAATCTGCATTTAGTGTTTTAACTCTTAGTCTCGTACCCCACCCCTACCCGCTTTCTATGGGGCAGGGGATGCACAGATCTCTTTCGCTGGCCTGAAACTAAATTTGTAGACCAGACAATCCTCCCTTGCCTCCTCTGAGTGATGAATTACAGGTTTGAGCCACCATAGTTAGAGGTTCTTTTGCCTTGAGTCTTTTTAAGACTACCCAAACACTAAATAGTTTCAGCTCTTAAACCGTTTTACATAACTTCTGAATCAGTCCTTTGGCTTTGGTATTATAATGGGTTAAAACTAAATTATTCCAGAGTGTGCTGAATGAATGTTATAATAAACCTTTTCTGCAGGTATTTGGAAGATATTTATACAACCCGACTAGAGCATTAAGTTCTTTGCCCGATAAAAAAAAGGAATTTTTACAGAATGGACCAGATCTTCAAGATTTTGTGTCTGGTGATCTTGCGGACAAGAGCACCTGGGATGAATATAAAGGAAATTTAAAGCGCCAGAAAGGAGAAAGGTAACTGAATATTAGATATTATTTTAGTATCCCACCCTTTGATTTTGTGCACTGTTTTTAATCAAGCCCTGTCGATTTTAAATTTCAGACATGTTAAATTTACCAAAGATACTAGAAGTGATGACAAATCTAAATAGGATAGGCGAGCAAAGCTGTTAGCATCGTTTTAGTGTTTCTGGGCCCTCTGGCCATTTTTCTTCATCCTTCTTAAAAGGACCTGATCATTTTACAGTGTGATCTCCCATTTTATACCCCAGCATCTAATTGGATAAGTGTAGACTTTCCTCTAGGTAATAATTGATTTATATTATTTGGTTTATCAAGACAGGGATTCTCTGTATAGACCTGAATGTTCTGGAACTCGCTCTGTAAACCAGGCTGGCCTTGAACACACAGAGATCCACCTGCTTTTACCTCCCAAGTGCTGGGATTAAAGGCCTATGCCACCGCGTCTGGCTCTAACTTGTTCTTTTTCTGAGAAAGTTTGCATATAGCCTACAGTTACTTTATCTTCGTTAATGATGAAAGGTTGCCTGGCAAGCAGAAGCCTCAATTCCTAGTACCACAATAAACAGAAATCGTAACAGAAGTATGGTGAGGTTTGGATCTACAGGGTCATTTTCATAATTACTTACTAACAGTTTCTAGATCACAAGGGAATAAAGTGAAGGGGGAAATAAGGGTATATATAGCCTCCATTCCAAATTGTTGATCTACCTTTTGTTGTTGTTATTGTCAGTTTGTCGTTTTCTGGTTTACTGTGTAGCTAAATTTGACCTTGAACTCCCGATCCTCCTACCTCTTTGGTTTAAATTCTAGCATTACAGACATGAACCACTACAGCTAACAAGTTGTCTCTCTTTATTAATGACTAGAATCTAGAATGCAGGGTAGATAGTGTGCAGTTGGGCTCTTTCCTTATTTGGAGTTACTGCAGCAGTTTGTACTATGATGTGGAATATTATTTTAAGGAGGTGAAGATGTGTTCCATTTGTTTCCGCTGCCTTTGTTAACAATGTGAAGATGTGTTACATTCAGCGCATCTTGCCTGCCTTAGGCACCTGATTGGCCTAATAAAAAGCTGAACAGCCAATAGCTAAGCTGAAGAGTTATAGGCAGGACTGGTGAGCAGAGAGAGTAAGTAGAAGGAGGACTCTAGCTAGGCTCAAGAGAGGAGGAGGAGGAAAAAATGAGGAAGAAAGAGAGTGACATGCCTAGACTAGATGCCAGGCAGCTGCCAGCCAAACATGTGAAGCAGTGAAGTTAAGATATACAGAGGGAAAAAAGGTAAAAAGCCCACAGGCAAAACAGATTAAGAGAAACAGATTAAAGTAAGAGCTAAGGCCGGGTATTCATAACTAAGTCTCTATGTTGTGATTTGGGAGCTGGTTGTTGGTCCAAAAGAGAAAGCCTGGTACAGTAGTGTTCACAGGGAAGGACACACTCAACGACATATCTGTCCTTTAATTAGAATAGTATAGCAATGCGCCTTTGCATAAGGTAGCTGTAAGCATAGCATGCCTTAGACTCCATTATCAGTGTTTCCTAAAGCAGCTTGAACAGACCTGAGATTGAGTCTTTGGTCTTCTTCCTGTGATGGAACTGAGTCCAAGAATGTGGAAAAAGCTGCTAGAGCTAAGCTGCATGTCTTCCAGAGGTTGGTAACGGGCAGTTGTTCGTTTGGCTTTCCCTAGGTTAAGACTACCTCCGTGGTTAAAGACAGAGATACCCATGGGTAAAAATTACAATAAGCTGAAAACTACATTGCGGAATTTAAATCTCCACACAGTGAGTAGCCAGTGTGTTTCCCCTCGATTTTAATCCAAGTCTATGCTCTCTCTCCATATTTATAACAAAAAGGTTTTGAGATACAGTCTAACTATTTAGCATAGGCTAGAGCTCCCTGATTGGTCTCAAACTTGTGATTCTCCTGTCTTAGCCTCCTAAGTGCTTGGGTTATAAGATGTGTGTTGCCAGGCCAGACCAAGAAGAAGTGGTTGATAAGTATGTGACTCTTAGCAGGGAAAGTGAAGCGTGAGCTACAGTAGTGATGGTGTACGTGATGCCCGGCAGTGGTGGCGCACACCTTTATCCCAGCACTTGGCAGGCAGAGGCAGGTGGATCTCTGTGAGTTTGAGGACAGCCTAGTCTACAGAGTGAGTTCCAGGACAGCCTGGGCTACACAGAGAAATCCTGTCTTGAAAAACCAAAGTGAAAACAAAAAACATACATAGACCTGTAGGGCCTGAGAGTTTAACCCAGTGCGTGCTTAGTGTGTTTGATAGCACTTTGGTCCCTAACTCCCCTTTATATTTTCCTGCAAAATAAACAATAGGTGATTATATTTCTTCTGAAATGCATTGGAAACAACAGGCAGTTTAAATTATGTAATACTGGGCTGGAGGGATGGCTCAGTGGTTAAGAGCAAGGCTACTTTCTCTTCTAAAGGTCCCAGGTTCAGTTCTTAGCACCCACATGGCCACTCACAACCATATCTACCTCCAGTTTCAGGGGATCTGACACTCTCTTCTGGATACCGCTTGACATTGGGCATGCATGTCGTACACAGAGATAGATGCAGGCAAAACACCCATACATACAAAATTATAATAAAAATAATCTTAAAACAAAACGAAACAAACCTGGGACCATCTAATGCTTCGTTGTTGGTAGGTAGGTCTCTTCAACCTGCTGCACCGTTTCCCTTTTCACAGGTCTGCGAGGAAGCCCGGTGTCCCAACATTGGAGAGTGTTGGGGAGGTGGAGAATATGCTACAGCCACAGCCACCATCATGGTAAGGAGGCCCGCTCAGTCTCTACAGCTTTGGTCCAGGCGTGGGGCAGGGGTATTTTATGTCCTCCTCCTAAGGATGTGCACTGTGAACATCCAGTGAAATCTTTATTGCATATGAATTCCTGAAACTTACAAAGAAAAAGAAGTGATAGAATCTTGTCACCTGTTGTGATATGACTCTTCTCTGAATTAGTCTATTATTGGTTCTTCCATGTATCTAGTAGTTAACTATTTGGTACCTTAGGGGAAGTGTTGGATCAATGTTTGGAGATATTCTTCATAATTATTTAACTTTTGTGCACTTTTTCCTATCATGTATTTAACAAGAATGAGCTGTATTTCCAGTTCCACTCTCCTCAGATCTGCATGATGTCTTCCCACTGAGTATATCAGCAGCCAGTGGCTCAGGGGGCGGAATCACCTGCTGTCAAGCCTGGTGACCTGAGTTCAACCCACAGGACCTACACAGTGGATGGAAAAAGTCAACTCCTACAGTTGCCCTCTGACGTCCTTGTGTTTCCACACACACAGATGCCCATACAGACAAAATAAATTTAAAATGTCATTTTAAAAGAATATATTTTAAAATCATATTTGTTGATTTTTAAGTAGTAAATAGTCTTTATAAACCATGAGTAAGCTGTAAAAAATAACGATTTGTCAGGCAGTGGCACACGCCTTTAATCCCAGCACTCGGGAGGCAGGGGCAGGAGGACCTCTGTGAATTCGAGGCCAACCTGGTCTACTGAGTGAGTTTCAGGATAGCTAAAGCTAAGGCTACACAGAGAAACCCTGTCTCAAAAAAAAAAGAGAGAGAGAGAGAGAGAAAGAGAGAGAGAAAGAGAGAGAGTCAAAGGACAGCTTTGTGCGTCTGTTCTTCCCACTTTTGCATGGGGTCTGGGAATTGAACTCAGGTCACCATGCTTGTTGCCTAGTGAGTTATCTCACTGGCCCTTAAATTATAAAATTTAAAATTCATATGCTCCCTCCTGATCCCATAACCCTCCAGTTCCCTTAACACTTACTTGAGGGTATCATTTTCTTTTTCCACATAAATTTGTATTCCTTAACCATATGGTATTTAATTTTGAATATTTCAGATTCCTTATAGACAGAGTCATTCTGTTGATGTTCTTTGCCATGTTTTTGGCGTTGTATTCCTGAGAGTCATCTGATTTGAATTGTAACATCTCTATTTTAGTTGATGGGGGACACATGTACAAGAGGTTGCAGATTTTGTTCTGTTAAGACTGCAAGAAACCCCCCTCCGTTGGATGCCAATGAGCCCTACAATACGGCCAAAGCAATTGCAGAGTGGGGTCTGGATTATGTTGTGCTGACATCGGTGGATCGAGATGGTCAGTAGTGTGTCGTGGTGACTCCCGCTGGGTGTGGCGCAGCTCGAGCAATAACTGCTTTTCTTTCTAGATGTGCCCGACGGCGGAGCTGAGCACATCGCCAAGACCGTGTCGTGCCTGAAGGAGAGGTACTTGTTCACGTTCGTTATGTGTTTAAGGAACTTTAGACACACACATTCCTTTTGAGGGCTTTGTCTCTCTTTTTCTTTCTTTTTTTCTTTTTCTTTTGAGACAGAGTCTGTGTAGCCCTGGTTGCCCTGAAACTCACTAGATAGACAAGGCTGGCCTTGAGCCCACAGAGAACCACCCTCCTCTGCCTCCCAAATGCTAGGATTTTTTTTTAATCTCATGCATTCCAAAAAGATTAAAAAGGAGCAAAATTCACCAGATTAGCGGCACACACCTTTATTCCTAGTGTTTAAGTGCAGAGACGGGATCTCTGAATTTGAGGTCAGCGTGGTGTACATAATTGTTAATGGAGACTGCTTGTTTGTTTCCCGGCTGCCCAGACCAGAATAATCACACAGAAACTATATTAATTACAACACTACTTGGCCAATAGCTTAGGTGTATTCCTAGCTAACTCTTATATCTTAAACTAACCCACTTCTATTAATGTGTGTATTGCCACGAGGCTGTGGCTTACAGGAAAGGTTCTGGCAGTGGCGTTTTGTTCCTTCGGCCTATACATGACATCTCTCTGATTCCGTCCACTCTCTCTCTATAGTTCTTCCAGCCTGGCTATATTTTGCCCTGTTATAGGTCATACCAGCTTCTTTATTGACCAATGGTAATAAAACATACTGATAGCAAACAGAGGGGAATCCCACATCACATAATGAACTCCAGGCTAGCCAGGGCTGCATAGTGAGACTTTGTCTCTAAAAACAAAAGGAGCGAAATAGTTTCTGGAACTCGGTGCTGGTATAATGTCTATTGTACTAACATGTTTTTCCAATGATTTCCAAGTTTTTCTGATTCTTAACACTTTAAAAAATTGTGCAGCTCACGAAGTTTCCTTCACAGGCACTTACTAATGGATCTCAGGTGTAATTTTTAAAGTCAGTTTCAGAGTTACACACCAAGAACTTTCCGCATCTTCTGTTCACAAGGGACCAAGTGTGGTCCTCCGTCTCTATTCTCAGGGAACTGCTGCATCCTGCCTTTGGGTTTGCAGACTGCTCTGTGACCTAGTTCATATTACAGTGCTCACTAGATAGGTACAGCCAGTATAAACAGGAAGATTAATGTTTGTTGGTACTTCATTTAAAGATAAAAACTCATGGCTCAGCAAACCTAGAAACAGCTTTTAAAGCTGAAAGCACGGTGAGATATTTGCCCACAGGAGATGAGGAGGGGAGTGTTTGGTGAATTACAGAGGAAATCAGAGTCAAAGCAGATGGCATTTGCATCCACAGAAGAAATACCCCACTTTGTTTTCTAAACAGTAAAATAATAAGAAGAATACTTATGCCTTATTTTGGTTCCTTTAAATGATTTTACTTTTTAATCACCTACTCCCATTAGGTTTAAGTGGGAGTCTACTGATGGCTGTTGAGGTAGATGCTCTGGTCATTATGGAATACAGTTTACCACTCTGAGGGTTTCCTACGGTTGCTCACTTAGGACTATGGTGTGCCCAGGCCCTCCTTAGCAGGGCTCAGGGGCTGCTGCGGTCACCCTGGGCCAGCGGGGACACTGTGTAGGCAGCAGTCCCGTCGGCTCTTTTCTTCCGTTCTGGGCTTATCTTTTTTTCTTCTAGGAATCCAAAAATCCTTGTGGAATGCCTCACCCCTGACTTCCGAGGAGATCTGAGAGCAGTAGAAAAGGTCGCTCTGTCGGGCTTAGATGTGTACGCGCACAATGTAGAAACTGTTCCAGAATTACAGAGGTGACTGCATGTTCGTGGGCCACAGCATGCTATGGGTCTCACTTTGCAGGGGGACTTTGCAGTGGACTTATACAAAGGCAGCTCCTTTGTTTCCCTTCCCCCTTTCCTTTCCTTTCTCTCTTGATCTTCATTTTGTCCTTCCTCCATAAGTTAATAAAAAAAAATCAGAAAAGATAACCACCAAAAGTGAGTGACCAAGGGCTAGAAAGATGGCTCAGTGATTAAGAGCCCATATGCTCTTACAGAAACTAGAGTTCAGTTCCTGTCACTCCAGCTCCATGGTGTTCCCACGGCCTTGGAAGTTGGTAGAGTGCAGCTGCACTTGTGCACACACCCACACACGAGCATACACACGTACATATAATTAAAAAGAAAAGTCTTTTTAAAAAAATGTGCAAACATCACCCATGATGTTTCTAGCCAGTAATGAGAGCTACTGTCACTGTGTATTGTGTTACACCTATAAATATCTATGCGATTGTTGTCGGCGGTTTTCAGTTTTTGTTGTTGTTTTGAGACAGGGTTTCGCTGTGTAGCCTTGGCTGTTCTGGAACTCACTCTGTAGACCAGGCTGGCCTCGAACTCACAGAGATCCACCTGTCTCTGCCTCCCAAATGCTGGGATTAAAGGTGTGCACCACTACCACCTGACCTACGATGTTTTAATGACACGTAATGACATCTTTACTGTTTTCTAGCAGCATTATTGTTGCAGATGCACTGAATTCCTTTCTTTTCCAGAATATTTCTCAAATGAAAAGTGATGTATCAGAAAAACCACTGTTTTAAACCTCTTAATAAATAGACAGACTCTGAAACAGAAAAAAAAAAAAAGTAGACAAACTCGCCGGGCGGAAGTGGCTCTTTAAAAAAACAAAACGAAACAAACAAACAAAAAAACTCAAAACCAAGAATAATAGTGCATACTTTTAATCCCAGCACCCAGGAGACAGAAGCAGGTGGGTCTCTAGTCTCTAAGTTTTAGGCTAGCCTGTTCTATATTTCACATCCTAGGACAGCCAAGGCTACATGGTCAGACCTTGTCTCAGATAGAAACCCAAACAACACCCAGCTGCTCTCTGACATGCCCCGCCTCTGAGAAAATAAACAATAAAGACAAATGTTTGAAGTCCACCTTGCTAAGTGTGGTGGCACACAGCTGTCACCCTAGCCAGCACACAGGCTGAGGCAGAAGGGTTGCAAGTTCAAGACCAACATAGTTAGCGTTAGCGTGACCGCCCCACAAAGTGTTGGCTTTCTATACTGTCAGTTTTATGGAGGTTTTTAAATTGCTCTTTTTAAACTTACATTTGTGTGTGTGTGTGTGCAAGTCACAAGATAACGTACTGTTCTTGTTGTTTGTTTGTTGTTTTCCTTATATATGGGTGCACTGCTGTGCACTGTGTGCATGCAGTGCCCTGGAAGGCCAGAGGCCAGAGGGTGTTTATCCCTTGGAACTAGAGTTACACACTTATTAACGTCCTGTGGGTACTGGCACTTGAACCTGAATCCTCTGGAATAGCAGTCAGTTCTAACCGCTCAGCCATCTCTTTAACTCCCTGCCTCTTATTTAAATTAAAACAAAACAAAAATACAGAACATAGGCTGCATTAGAAGTCAGCTAAGCTCTGGTCTTCCATTATCCCTTTGCATTCCTTCTCATTTAAGCCACGGTGGTTTGGCCATGTTGAAGGGTCGCCACCCAGTCTGTGGTGAGATCGTCAGCAGTGGGTGCCAGTCTTCCTGATTTCACTTCAGAAACTTACCCTTTCCAGCGAAAATCCCAGAATGCTTTTTCCTCCAAGCCTGCAGTGTTACTACGTGCCAGCAGAGGGCAGCCCAACCTGCAGGAAGAAAAGCACATAAAAGTTTCAACCCCAGAAATGAGCGTTCTGGTACGTTTTGTGCTCAGAGTGGGGTTTGTCTGTCTTTTGTCCAGTTTCTTTTCTTGCTAAAGGTCATTCTAATTTTGAGCTTTAGGTTCTCAGTTTTCAGTGTATAAACCAAGTAGCTTCCAGTCTGGGCTTCTCTGTCCCACGCTTGAGAGGCCTGAAAAGTTGATATATCTAGGAAGCCAGTGAGGCCTCCTTTTCTTTCCCACTTTAATTACCTCTATGCACATATGTTCCACTGGTACAGATGCTCACTAACTGTGGGTCACGTGTTCCAGAGCAGTGTTTCTCCTCCTTCCTGATGCTGGGACCCTTCAATACACTTCCTCATGTTATAGTGGCCCCAGCCATAAAATTATTTTCATTGCTACTTCACAACTATTGTTTTGCTACTGTTATGAATCATAATGTGAGATCCAGTGGTCTTAGGCTACCCCTGTGAAAGGTTGAGAACACTGTTCTAGAATGTGCTTTCTGGTTGAACTTGCTTTGTCACTGAGAGCTGCCCATTTTCCAGGAAAGTTCGTGACCCCCGGGCCAATTTTGACCAGTCTCTTCGTGTATTGAAACATGCTAAGAAAGTTCAGCCTGATATTGTTTCCAAAACATCAATAATGCTGGGCCTAGGTGAAACGGATGAGCAAGTCCATGCAACGATGAAAGGTAAAGACATTGAAAACCAGAAACCCCTTTCCTTTAATGTTCAGTGGTAGCCGGAACTCCATTTCAAGAGTCTGTTAAATGCATGCTTCCTCCATATTCTTAAGCGCAGGTGACGGTGAGAACAGCGTACCTGGCGTGCAGCTGTAGGCCTGCAGGAGCATTCGGCCTTCTTTATCATCATGGAACAGTGTGCGTGGAGCTTAACACAGGGATCTTTAGTCCTTGTCCTTGCCTGTTCCAATGAGAACAAGATTGCACTCTGTCATTGAGTGGTGTGGAAAGCCAGTTCGGCACCAGGCTCTGGTGGATGAGATTCTGAAGGCTGTGGCTTTAGCTTAGTAGTAGAGTGCTTGCCTACCAAGTACAACTGAAAAAGAAAGACTCTGATATGTCACAGGCCAAGTCACACTCCGGGAGCACAGCCTGCTCACCAGAGCAAAGCCCAGGCAGCACGCTTGACTCTTTTTACCTTAGGATAGTTGTTCCTTCACCTTTTTTTTTTTTTAAGGCAGAGTTGGAGTTTATTTTTTTTTAAATATTTATTTATTTATTACGTATACAATGTTCTGTCTGTGTGTATGTCTGCAGGCCAGAAGAGGGCACCAGACCTCATTCCAGATGGTTGTGAGCCACCATGTGGTTGCTGGGAATTGAACTCAGGACCTTTGGAAGAGCAGGCAATGCTCTTAACCACTGAGCCATCTCTCCAGCCCCCGGAGTTTATTTTTTTTTAATATTTATTTATTTATTATGTATATAGTATTCTGTCTGTATGTCTGCAGGCCAGAAGAGGGCACCGGATCTCATTACAGATGGTTGTGAGCCACCATGTGGTTGCTGGGAACTGAACTCAGGACCTTTGGAAGAGCAGGCAATGCTCTTAACCGCTGAGCTATCTCTCCAGAGTTGGAGTTTATTAAGAAAAGATTTTAGGTGTTAGGGCTGAAATGATGGCTCAGCCATTAAAGGCCAGGCTAACAACCAAATATATAAGAATTCGGTTCCTAGCACCTTTTCAGTCACCAAAAACAGAAAACCAAAGAAAAAAAAGATTTTTTACATAGACTTAAGCATGGGGATGACTAGAGATACACTCAAGAGAAGGAAAAGTACAGCCAGGCATGGGCATGGCTTCTATTTGATAGCATTAAGTGGCTTTCTTCTTTCTTTTTTTCTTTTTTTTTCTTTTTCTTTTTTTTTTTTCTTTGTTTTGAGTATCTGTGTAGCTCCAGCTGTCTTAGAACTTGCTCTGAGGCCAGGTTGGCCTCAAACTCAGAGATGCACTTGCCTCTGCCTCCTGAGTGCTGAGACTCAAGGCATGCGCCAGCATATCCAGCCTTGAGATTTTCTTTCTGTCTCCCGGTTTCACACTACAGTGGTAACCGTTCTGTGTTTCCGATTCCCACCAGCATCCCTGGCTCATGTGTTTCTGAATGACTGGGTTTCCTCCCGCCTGTCATTGCCTGTGGTGACAGAGCACACAGGGTGGGAGCTGTCCTCGCGGGACCTGTGCTTAGTCTGTAGCTGTGCCTGAAACAGCTGCTGCTGGAATCCTTGCTGTTCTTCCCTTTCAGCACTCCGCGAAGCTGATGTGGACTGTTTAACTCTAGGACAGTATATGCAGCCAACGAAGCGCCACCTTAAGGTACAAGTGTCCTGAGTTGCCAAATATTTTCTTAGTAATTTGAAGTAAATCTTCACTGTCCACAGGTAAAAATAAGAAGCTATTAGCTTTTTAGTATAATGTTCCATGTGTACGTGCAAGTTTCCATCTTCTTGCCCACATAAAGCAGTGACTTACTGCTACCCAGTTGTTCGAGTCAAGTGGACATACAGAGAAAGTTAAAGGTTGGGAGATTTTGCATTTGGTGATCCTGCAAAGGAAGGCAGGTGTCTGTTTCTGTAATAGAGTGTATATTTACTGGAGAAAATTGTGTTGAGTACTATCATGTCCTATAGCACATTCAGGCTGTTGCTCAGTGGTAAAGCACTTGCCTAGTATGTGTGAGGTCCTAGTCCAATCATTAGGACTGCCAAACAGACAGACAAACCAAAATAAAACATGTGCCATGTACAGTGCTAAACATGAGACACAAGATGAATTAGTCTTGTCCTCAGGCATCTTATAAGGGGACTTAGAGTGACATTAGGGTGCTTGCAGACTTGAGTTCACGTCCCAGAACCCACGTTGTCTTTTAGCCAGACAGTGGCGTGTGCTTATAATCCCTGCACAGGTGAGACAGACACAGGTAGATTCCTGGGGCTTGATGGCCAGCCAGCCTGACCTACTTAAGAGTTCCAGGCCACTGAGGGTCCTGTAGCAAAAGAAGGTGGAATGTCTGAGGAATGACTTCCAAAGTTGTCGATGGCCTATACACATGTACACAAGCACCCACAAAAATGTGCTCGCGCACACACCACACACACACACACACACACACACACGGAATCTTACAGGAAGGACCAATTCTTGCTTCTACTATTAATACATGAAAGAAAAACATAAGTAATCTTTGTACTCTCATTTTTCCCCTTTAGAACAGCTAATGTAGTACAAGGTGACACTCTCTCCTCTCTGAGTCCTCTGTGGTTATGCTCTGATAGAGGCCAGCAACATGTACATGGGGAGGGGGCTGGATAAATGCTGAGCCCTTCCGAGTACATAGACTTTATATAGAAGCAGAGTTACTTAGCATTCTGAAATCTGTTCTGAAGAGATTCTTTACATCAAGGTTGAAGAGTACGTTACTCCTGAGAAGTTCAAGTACTGGGAAAAAGTAGGAAATGAGCTTGGATTTCATTACACTGCAAGTGGCCCTTTGGTGCGCTCTTCATATAAAGCAGGTAAGTTCGCCTCGGGTGCTGCTTCTTTTTAGAATTAATTTCCATTAATGTTCCACCCCAAACCACCAAAGTTCTAAAGCAAATTGCAATAGGTGGTTGTCGGCTGTCAGGGGAATAAAAGGAGATTGTCTTTTCCTGGAGCGTCGTTCACAGCTTGGCTCTGTGGGGTCACAGAAAGAGGGTGCTCTCCAGGCTCACCTGTCTGTGCACTCTGTGGGGTCACAGACAGAGGGTGCTCTCCAGGCTCACCTGTCTCTACATTCTGTGGGATCACAGACAGAGGGTGCTCTCCAGGCTCACCTGTCTCTGCATTCTGTGGGGTCACAGACAGAGGGTGCTCTCCAGGCTCACCTGTCTCTACATTCTGTGGGATCACAGACAGAGGGTGCTCTCCAGGCTCACCTGTCTCTGCATTCTGTGGGGTCACAGACAGAGGGTGCTCTCCAGGCTCACCTGTCTCTACATTCTGTGGGATCACAGACAGAGGGTGCTCTCCAGGCTCACCTGTCTGTGCACTCTGTGGGGTCACAGAGGGTGCTCTCCAGGCTCACCTGTCTCTGCATTCTGTGGGGTCACAGACAGAGGGTGCTCTCCAGGCTCACCTGTCTCTACATTCTGTGGGGTCACAGACAGAGGGTGCTCTCCAGGCTCACCTGTCTCTACACTCTGTGGGGTCACAGAAAGAGGGTGCTCTCCAGGCTCACCTGTCTCTACACTCTGTGGGGTCACAGACAGAGGGTGCTCTCCAGGCTCACCTGTCTGTGCACTCTGTGAGGTCACAGAAAGAGGGTGCTCTCCAGGCTCACCTGTCTCTACATTCTGTGGGGTCAGAAAGAGGGTGCTCTCCAGGCTCACCTGTCTCTACACTCTGTGGGGTCACAGAAAGAGGGTGCTCTCCAGGCTCACCTGTCTCTACATTCTGTGGGGTCAGAAAGAGGGTGCTCTCCAGGCTCACCTGTCTCTACATTCTGTGGGGTCAGAAAGAGGGTGCTCTCCAGGCTCACCTGTCTCTACACTCTGTGGGGTCACAGAAAGAGGGTGCTCTCCAGGCTCACCTGTCTCTACATTCTGTGGGGTCAGAAAGAGGGTGCTCTCCAGGCTCACCTGTCTCTACATTCTGTGGGGTCAGAAAGAGGGTGCTCTCCAGGCTCACCTGTCTCTACATTCTGTGGGGTCAGAAAGAGGGTGCTCTCCAGGCTCACCTGTCTCTACATTCTGTGGGGTCACAGACAGAGGGTGCTCTCCAGGCTCACCTGTCTCTACACTCTGTGGGGTCACAGACAGAGGGTGCTCTCCAGGCTCACCTGTCTCTACATTCTGTGGGGTCACAGACAGAGGGTGCTCTTCAGGCTCACCTGTCTCTACATTCTGTGGGGTCAGAAAGAGGGTGCTCTCCAGGCTCACCTGTCTCTACACTCTGTGGGGTCACAGAAAGAGGGTGCTCTCCAGGCTCACCTGTCTCTACATTCTGTGGGGTCACAGAAAGAGGGTGCTCTCCAGGCTCACCTGTCTCTACATTCTGTGGGGTCAGAAAGAGGGTGCTCTCCAGGCTCACCTGTCTGTGCACTCTGCCTGCTGCTCTCGGTACTGCAGCCATTGACAGGAGCAGAGAGTTGTACAGTCAGTTACTGCATGGGTGCCTTCAGTAGCGGATCTTCCAGAAACAACAGCGCATGCAGAGCATGGGTACTGTTTTCTGGAAAATGTGTGTTTATTTGACAGCGGTGCCAGCTGCATCTCATGCTGCCGATTCCAGAGCAGCGCAAGCATTGAGACCCTATAGTGCTGCTTCTTGTACAGTTAAAAGAGAAGAAACTGTAAAATCACCTTTTCCCTAAGCAAAGTTTAGTGGTTTTACTAACTTATTGTTTCACTTTTGGTATTTAGCTCTTGCTTTAGTCAGTTGATTGAACTGATTATAAAAATAAAAGCGTTTTCCAAGGAATTAAAAAGTCATTTCGGGCTAGGAATGTAACTCAGTGGTAGAGCTCTTGCCCAGCGTGCATGAGGCCCTAGGCTGAGTTCTCAGCAGTGCAGGAAGAAAGAAAGGAGGAAAAAGAAGTCATCTGAGCCAGACTTGGCAGTATACGCCTGCAATGCCAGCATTTAGGAGGCTAGTGAAGGAGATGGAGGAGGACGATGTTGCCCTGGTAGTTGGGGTCAGCAATTGGGACTGGTAAACTAGGTGTTTTGGGATATGTACGCAGTGTGTTAATACCATTAATGGTCATTTACTTGATTGCTGTATATACTGGGGTCTAGATCATAGACATATTTAAGTTAAAGTTCTGTGTAGAAAAATCAACATTTACATATCAGTGATACTCAGTATCCCTATAAAGGAATTTAAGTGAGCTGGGCATGGTGCACACTTGTAATCATAGCACTTGGGAAGGGGGTCAGGCCACCCTCTGCTTTGTTGTGAATTTGAGGCCAGCTTGGGCTCCATGAGACTCCTGTTTAAAAAAAGCCAAATAGGAAGAAAGAAAAGAAATTTTTTTTTTGCTTTGCTTTGTTTTATTTTTTATTTTATTTTTTTTTAATTTATTTATTTATTAAGGATTTCTGCCTCCTCCCCACCACCGCCTCCCATTTCCCTCCCCCTCCCCTGATCAAGTCCCTCTCCCTCATCAGCTCAAAGAGCAATCAGGGTTCCCTGACCTGTGGGAAGTCCAAGGACCACCCACCTCCATCCAGGTCTAGTAAGGTGAGCATCCAAACTGCCTAGGCTCCCACAAAGCCAGTACGTGCAGTAGGATCAAAAACCCATTGCCATTGTTCTTGAGTTCTCAGTAGTCCTCATTGTCCGCTATGTTCAGCAAGTCCGGTTTTATCCCATGCTTTTTCAGACCCAGGCCAGCTGGCCTTGGTGAATTCCTGATAGAACATCCCCATTGTCTCAGTGTGTGGGTAAACCCCTCGCGGTCCTGAGTTCCTTGCTCGTGCTCCCTCTCCTTCTGCTCCTGATTTGGACCTTGAGATTTCTGTCCGGTGAAAAGAACTTTAAGATATTTTTATGAATAGTTTATCCTACTTATAAAGGCCAAAAATTTGAATTCTAGGTTTTTTTTTTTTAAAGTAGTAAAAGAAAACATGAAGTTGGGTGTGTGTGGGAGGAGTTGGGGGAAGAGTGGAGAGGACTCAAAATGTATTATATTCATATATGGATTCTCAAAGAATTATTAAAAAACCTAAGACTTTGGCTCAGCACTGACAGACTGTGAAGGCTTACACACATACATAACTAGAAGTGAGGGTGGGGCAGGATGATTGACAAGTTGAAATACATACAGAAGCCAGAAGTCAGTTTCTAGAAGTGGGCACCCTAGAGTAACATTTATTTTATTTTTGCCTTTTTTATGTGCATGGCAGGTGACTTTATTTATTTATTTAGTTTTGTTTTTTTGAGACAGGGTTTCTCTATGTAGCCCTGGTTGTCCTGGAACTAGCTCTGTAGACCAGGCTGGCCTCCAACTCACAGATCCACCTGCCTCTGCCTCCAAAGTGCTGGGATTAAAGGTGTACACCACCACCACCCAGCTTCTTATTTTTATTTACTTTTTAATTTTTGAGACAGGGTCTCACTATACAGTCCTTGCTGACTTGGAACTCAGGCCTGCCTGTGCCTCCAAGTGCTGAGATTGAAGATGTGAACAACCATGGTCAGCATTAAGTAGTACTTAAAGGGAAATCTAATATTTGTAAGGAAGTGAATTGTGACTCTTTAGTATTTGTAAAGTCACTACTAAAAGATTGAATTCTGGTGTATTGAGCATTGAACACAGATTTCACACCAGATTTCAGTCTGGTGATGTCAGTTCTGTGTCTACCAGATTTCGGTGAAGGACTGAGCAGTATAGACAAGAGGCTCAGGATCCTTGGTGATTGGGTTTGGATGTGGTGGTGGCGTTCTGATTGTGCCTGTATGGTAGCAGAGGGGAGCTGACCAACTCCTCATAAAGTCAAGCACCGAGCTCCTCTGACGCATGCTGAACTAAATGGAGCCTCGTGGGCTGAGAGGGATGTGTAGCTCAGGCTCGGCTCAGATGGGGACAGGCGCCCATTACATTCAACCAGATCCCACCCGAGTGCTCAGCTGCATGAGGTCGGCTTTATAAACATCAGGTTCAGGCTAATGACAGACAGGCAGCTCTCTGAAATGCCCTGTGCTAACGGCAGCACTTTATAGAACGAAGAGTAGTTAGCACTCACGGCGGGGTGAACGTGCAGAAGCAGACACGTGGGCTCTGGTCGTCTTGCATAACACTTGGGTATTGCAAGGAACAACAATTGAGAGCAATTCTTTTTGGTCCCTGAGTAGCCCTGTGCTGTTATGGAGAGAGAAAAGGGAAGGGGAGGTGTGGTAAAGTATTATAATCTCAAAAAATATAATAAAAAATCAAATCAAAACAGTAGGGGAAAATTTAAAAGATATGGAGTATTTAGGTGATAAAAATAGTGCCTTTGAGATTTGAGAGGAGGGCAAGCCAGTACATACAATCCTTCTTTGTGTGTGGGGAGAGGTGGGTGTTTCTGAAGTAGCAGCTTGTTGCTGCTTGCTTTAAGATGACATTAATATATTCTATTTTTCCCAAATAGGTGAATTTTTCCTGAAAAATCTAGTGGCTAAAAGAAAAACGAAAGCTTCTAAAGTTTAGCCAAGACCTTCAGAATTACAGGAATTTGAAGATTTTACTTCCAGTTGGTGCCAGCCTTTCAGAATTCCTGTGCATCCAACCAACGCTGTTGTCTCTGCAGTGTCTGGTGTCTGGTCCAGGAACAGTAGCAAGTAGCTGTAATTCCTCTCAGGCCATCCCCAGCTACCTGAGTAAGACCCGATCCCAAAATAAAAAAAAAAAATTAAAGAAGAAAAGAAGAGAAAAGAAAAAAATCTGTAAGCTATACATTTAATGATAATTCATTTAACTTCTTGCTCCTTTCCTTGTCCTTGTCATTGTGATGATAGAATCATAGAACATCTTGAACAGTTTGCTGTTACATTAACAACGTTCAGAAGAGCTCATAAATCACAGTAATAGATCTATAATTATGACATTTCTGGCTTTCTTTGTTGTTTGTTTGTTTTGTTTTTCAAGATAAGGTTTCTCAGTCTCTGTGGAGCCTATCCTGGAACTCGCTCTGTAGACCAGGCTGGCCTCAAACTCATAGAGATCCGCCCGCCCTTGCCTCCCGAGTGCTGAGATTGGGATTAAATATGTGCGTCACCACTGCCTGGCTCGACATTTCTTTTTTTTTAAATGACTTATTTTTACTTATTTGTGTGTGTGTGTGCAGTACACATGTCTGTGGAAGGTGTCTTCTGGACCAACTGTGTGTGTGTGTGTGTGTGTGTGTGTGTGTGTGTGTGTGTGTATGTGTGTGTGTGCAGTATACATGTCTGTGGAGGTGTCTTCTGGACTCTGTGTGTGTGTGTGTGTGTGCAGTACACATGTCTGTGGAGGTGTCTTCTGGACTGTGTGTGTGTGTGTGCAGTACACATGTCTGTGGAGGTGTCTTCTGGACTGTGTGTGTGCAGTACACATGTCTGTGGAGGTGTCTTCTGGACTAACTGTGTGTGTGTGCAGTACACATGTCTGTGGAGGTGTCTTCTGGACTAACTGTGTGTGTGTGTGCAGTACACATGCCTGTGGAGGGTGTCTTCTGGACTGTGTGTGCAGTACACATGTCTGTGGAGGCGTCTTCTGGACTGTGTGTGCAGTACACATGCCTGTGGAGGGTGTCTTCTGGATGGTGTGTGCAGTACACATGTCTGTGGAGGTGTCTTCTGGACTGTGTGTGTGTGTGTGTGTGTGTGCAGTACACATGCCTATGGAGGTATCTTCTGAACTAGAGTTAGAGGAACATGTGCACCTGCACATATGAACTCAGTGGCACATGATAATAACACATCTCTTTAAAAGACCTGCACAGGCAGAACCAAGTCAGTCAGCATCACAGTGTGGAGCTGGGAATGGCTCACGAGCCCCACTAGTGTTGGCAGCTGAGGAGCTACTGACAGTTGATAGCTGCGGGGAGGGGGAATGTCAGTTTTCTTCAGGGGTGTGGTCTCCATAGGTTTACCATTGCTCTAGAACAGTGATTCTCAATCTTCCGAATGATGCAACCCTTTAATACAGTTCCCAACCATAAATTTATTTCATTGTGTCAGGTAGTGCTGGTGCACGCCTTTATTCCCAGCACTCAAGGGGCAGAGGCAGATGGATCCTTGTCAGGCCAGCCTGGTCTACAGAGTGAGTTCCAGGACAGGCTTCAAAGCTACACAGAAACCCTGTCTCAAAAAAAAAAAACTGAAAAAAAGAAAAACTAAAACAACTAATTTATTTCATTGCTACTTCATAACTAATTCTGCTACTTTTTTTAAAAAAGATTTATTTATTTTATGTATGAATCTCCATTGGCATGCCTGACTTTATGCCAGAAGGGGGCAGCAAATCCCACTACAGATGGTTGGGAGCCACCATGTGGTTGCTGGGAATTGAACTCAGGACCTTTGAAAGAATAAGTAATGCTCTTAACTGATGAGCCATCTCTCCAGCCCCCTAATTCTGTTACTCTTATGAATTATAATTAAATATCTGATATGCAGGATATCTGATATGTGACTCCCAAGGGGCACTTGACCCACAGGTTGAGAATCTCTGCTCTAGTGAATGACTCAACACCCATGAAGATATGGGAAGCCAAAATGGACTCAGTGATTTGTGTGTGTGGTTTTTTGAAACAGGGTTCCTCTGTGTAGCTTTGACTATCCTGGAACTCACTTTGTAGATCAGGTTACCCTTGAACTCCGAGTGCTGAGATTAAAGGTGAGCGCCACCATGCTAGACCTGGACTTGGTGAATATTAAAAGAAAAACGTATGAGATTGGGAGGGATGGGTCCATTGCTCTATTTGTCTCCATGCTGCGTCCTCATTTCCTACCCTGCCTGTTCTTTGAACTCTTAGGCTATGATGGTCTAACTATAAATGCTAGGTAGGCTGCTTCCCACTCTGTGGAGTCTAGGAATGGAGACAGTTGGAGGGTTGTTTAAGATAGATCTAGAGCTGGTCCCACAGTCAGTCAGTTCCCTTCCCACCCTTCCCTTGGGGTAGAGCCTGTGGTTCTGGTGTATAGTAACAAGGCTGCGAGTTTGTTCCCAGCTGCTTAGCCCCAAAATAATCACACAGAAAACTGTATTAATTAAATCACTGCTTGGCCCATTAGCTCTAGATTCTTATTGGCTAACTTTTATAAATTAACCCATTTGTATTAATCTGTGTATGGCCATGTGGCTGTGGCTTACTGGGTAAAGTCTGTCTCCAGTGGGGCTACATGGTATCTCTCTGACTCCACCCTTCTTTTTCAGCATTCACTTTAGTTTTCCCTGCCTAGCTCTTTGTGGGCTCTGCACTGCTATGGACTCAAAATTAACCTATGGTATTCACAGCATACAGAGGGAAATCACACATCATCTCCCTTTTTCTGTTTAAATAAAAATGGTTTTAACTTTAACATAGTAAAATTACTTCTAACAAAATAGGTATCAAGCAATAATTACAGTTACAATATTTATATCTACTTTATCTTTTATCATGACTAAGGAAAACTATAACTATAAATTCTTTAACTCCATCAAAGACTCCAGAAGGATATAATATTACCTAAGTAAACAGGAAGTGCATTGTAAGCAACTTCAAAAACTCTAGAATTGAGAAAGACATCTCGCTGCCTGAACAGTCACCCAAAGTTCTTCTGTATCATTGGGGCATCCATCTTCAGCCCACAAGCTCATAGTATCTGGCAGACTTTTCCATGAAACAGGAATTTCAAAGACAGTTCTGCCTATATTGTCAGTCACTTTTTTCTGTGTCCTGTAGAATGTTTTGCAGACTCTTCCATGAAGCAGGAACCCCAAGGATAATCTCACCTTTAGGCAAGTTTAGCAGTCATTTCTCTGCGGGTCCTGCATGTTCAGTTCATTAAGCAGTCCAGGCAAGAGCAGTTTTTTGCCCAAATGGCTAACCAACTCCATAAGGAGCCTCTTTGATGCCCATCTTTGTCTTTTTTTTTCTTTTTTCAAGACAGAGTTTCTCTGTAGCTTTGGAGCCTGTCCTGGAATTAGCTCTTATAGACCAGGCTAGCCTTGAACTCACAGAGATTCTCCTGCCTCTGCCTCCAGAGAGCTGGGATTAAAGGCATGTGCCACTACTGCCTGGCCCATCTTCTTCATGAAGTAACTGGTGTTGCCAGGAGCAGATTTTAAATGTCATATTCTATAGTCTTTGAAAGATTTGAAGAATACCTATGTATCTGAAATATATCTCTGTACATCTAGAAAATCTAACATAACTACAAGCTTGACTATTATAGATGATTATCTATTGACCTTTATTAATTATACATTACATTTTTAAAAGGAGCTGCACAAACACAATACCTTAATCAAGAACAGAAATATACATATAACAAAATTGACCTTAAATTTGTATCAATAAACCAAGATCCATACCAATGCAAATCTCTATAGCATATGCCCCTTTAAATGTAAACCAACCTTTAAAAACAATATTTGGGAATATGGGTGTAGTTCTCTCCAAACTGCTTCCTGCTGTTTATTGGGTGAAGTAATTTTTTTGAGTGGTGTTCAAGGCAATCTTTCAGGGGCACTTAGTCCATCAAACCATATTAGTCTGGAAGCAATCCACAGGTTCTCATCTTTTGTGAAAAAAAAAGAACTTCTTTTCCAAAGCAACGTATCATTAGACTCAAATTTTGAATTCAAAATACCTTTGAAATATATATTGTAGTAATATGGGCAGCGGGGCTGCGTCTCCAACACCCCAGCCGCCTGCTCGGCTAGCTTATGCCCGAAATAATTACACGGAAACTGTATTCATTTAAACACTGCTTGGCCCTTTAGCTCTAGCACTTACAGGCTAATTCTCACATCCCGATCAACCCATCTCTAATAATCTGTGAGCACCGGTTTTACCGGGAAAGGTTCAGCATGTCTAACCTGGCGGCTTGTTTCATCACATGCATCTGCCCGGGAGAGCGGAGCATGGCATCTCTCTGAGGCATCTGCTCCCGAGAGACCTATGGAGTCTGAGCTCACTTCCTCTTCCTCCCAGCATTCTGTTGTTTACTCCTCCCACCTATCTTCTAACCAATGAGGGCCAAGCAGTTTCTTTTTATTTAACCAATGACCTTCCTCCATCAATATATGTTGATTTAGCTCAGCAGCCCATATAATGTCTCTTTGTACTTAGCTCCCTCACAGTCAAAAAATTCAAAGAAAATACAATAACATACATAATCCAGATTCTCTGTGAATTTTCCATCTTTATGTGGCTTGTCTTTATTACTTTTTCTTTATTTTTGACTGTCTGTACCCTGTCTCTTTAAGACTATTTTTTAAAAAAAAAAACATTTACTTCTTTTCTTCTCTTTCCCAAGCCTATGTACATTTATGCAACACTGTGACCCATTTAGAAGTCTTTTATGTCTGAATCTGTCCTATTGTGTATCTGTAGTTCTTTGCTGTCCAGGAGCACTCCTTAAAATGCTATGTCCTTCTTATGAACTTAATCGGCCGCATTGCTAAGGAAAATACGGCACTGCCTGCTTGCCCCGCTCAGTCCAGCATGGTGGAGCTGTTTGCTGCCTCTGAGAGCCATGCTTATAGCCCCATTTTTAGGCAAACAGCCAGTCTATGTTGCCAGTAAGCAAGTTGTAGCAGTCTGCTCATAGACCCCACTCAAATGCTCTTTAGCAGGACTGCCAGAAATAAGAGTTCATGCTGGCAGCACTGCCCAGAAAGCCAGCATTTCAAAACCATGGCTTTTTTCTGCTACTGCTGAATCAGGAAAACCGCTCTTAAA